TTCTGATAGAACAATGGGAAGACAGAGTTGATCTGAAAACGAATTTGATGCATTTTAGCTATACATTTCAAATAATCTGGTCACACAAATACTTGTCAGGGCATTTTATATAAATAATTGATGAAGATCAATTAAATAAAAGTTTAAGTAAACAAAGTCATAATTATAAACAGAAATGGATGGATTTGGCTAGCAGTGGAATCTAGTATTCGCGTTTCATCTCATCTGGGACCGGTCAGCTGGATGTACCTGCATTGCAGAGTAGGTGTTCACTCAGGGACTCCAACCCAGTACCGTTCATTTCGAACGCCGTCACATTATCCATTAAGCTATTGATTCCAGATAGCCACCAGCTTGTGCAATAGGGTGAAGTTTAATTGATAAAATTTATTCATATATCCCATTAATCTGGCATCAATGGGATGATTCAAACAAACAATACCAAAAATATGACAAATATCTTATTCCAGTTGGAAATAATAATATAATTAGTTACAATACTACACACACACTGACATGAGATAATTGTATCCTAATCCTACGAGTGTGTGAGCGCACTTACCATAAATACACAAGCCGTGTTCGCATACGAAATAAAGGTATCGATATCGAGATTTCCATGTGCATGTTTACCTAAAAAATTTAACAGAAAACACAGTAATCTAGTTAATTGATTAGGAAATGTAAAACATGAAGGACGGCAGAAATGTCACATTCATTGTATTATAAATAAAATTTTACATTAAATGAAAATTTCTAGCAAAATAACTGAAAAAGGTAGATGTATTTCTCTATTCTTAGAATTAGTTTTGATATATCATATTTGATCGAAATTCTATTCGCATAATCGTACATCTGTATGTGAATGTTATATGTAGGAAGACAAGAGCATTCTGATCTAGTACATAAATACAACACTGCACGAAAGAAATGATAGAATGCTATTATTCATAACAGTTAGAAAATTGTGTCATTCCTCATATGTCTATGGGCAAACAGGTAAATGTGCTTCTTCCTTACTTTTCATATAAGTGTAGTTTGTGTATTTATTATAAATCTTCTCACACACCTGTAGGGAAATTTATTTCGAGGTATATGATGACGATTCTGTTCACCCTGTCCCGGTACGTTTCCTGTTTGAATGACTTCTTATGGATCTACTAGCTCTTTTCGTTAATAGAACTTCCAAAAAGGTTATCCTACCTTCAATTTCTTCCTTTTCAAATGCACACGTGATGGCTGTATGTATCTTGATAAACTGCCTAAGAATCTCTTATTGTAATATACTGTCTTTAAAGTGAATGGACATTTCATTCATATATCGACAGTAAAATGTAAATTGTTGAATTAACTGATGAAATTGTCAGTATAAATCAATCTTTCTCAATAGTTTATCTGATTAGTAATTTTCTGCCAAAGGTTGCTAGAATCAACGTCCTTCAAAAAGTAGAAGCAATTGTCATTTGGATTAAAACGTGGAGCTATGAATAAAAAAGAAAAAAAATATTCAACGCATTCTTTAACCTTAGGGCCAATTAATCTGAAATGATACTAACTATAGAATGACCTAATTTGACTAATGTACATACAACTTAATCAAATGTAATTGTTTTTGCTACCTTTATTGACATATCTTAGTATTATTCTGATTATTGATTTCAGAACTTCATATAAACTTCACTTTTTCTTCAAAAATACAAATTCCTCTGCTATGGTTTTATCGTTCTTTCTATTCCTTCCATTTATTAGTTTTTAATTCTTTGTAATAAATCAAATTATTCTGGCTTTTATTAATTGATGATCTTTTTAATTTAAAAATGACACAATTTTGTGTCGTAACAGATACAAATGTTCGCTAATTTTAACATATAACATTGCCAAATTCATTAATAAATACCCTACTTTTAACCTTTGTAAAATATCACAATCATTATAAACTTATAATTGTAGTACCTAATGATGTAGTTATTACAAAAACAATTGTGCACTTTAGAAAATTCTTTGGGAATATTCTATATGGATTTTTAAACTGTTGAGATTAAGATATTTAGAAAATTCCATCTATTAACAAAATGGAAATCTTATATAGTTGAGATCGTGAGTCGATGGAAACTAGATCACCATGGAAAACCTGAAAGCACTGGACGGCCGTTTCGTCTTATTATTGGACTCCTCATCAGTACGCATCCACGATCCCGCCTCACGAGATTCGAACCCATGACCTACCAGTCTCGCGTGCGAGCACTTAACCACTAGACCACTGAGCCGGCCGGCATCCAACAGTGTTAATGTCTAACTTCAACCGATCGACGAAACTGAGCGACACATCCACTATTGTCTTCAGTGAGTTACTATCTCACAACAGACCTGGTTGACCTTAAATATTATGATTATAATGATGAAACATTAATGTATCATCAGTTGAAGATTTTACAAATCACAAATTTAGGTTTATAGAATTTATGAATAGTAATATCAAAAAGATGGATACTTTTGTTTTACTGATAAACTAAATAGGTTGTTTATTTAACCTGGATGTGACCAATGAAACTGTTATTTACTGTATTATTTAAAATATGAACTTAGACTAAGTGACAAACGTTTTGGTAAGCTATTATTATAGAATACTTTTGAGGGTTCCAATTTAAATCAATAAATTGTAAGTAAAATATTTGAAAGTAATGGACTAAATTTATCAAGATAAAGAACTGAGATTATATGATAGATATTAAAATGAACACTAAGAATTTAGTAGTTACAAATGATGATATGTGTTTAATCATCAGTTACTCTGTCAAGAATTCATATTTTACATGAAAGTAATCCTATGACATTACTTGAAGTTTGAGATTCCGTACAACTTAATTCTTAACCTTAAACTCAATACAACGAGAACGACTAACACTTTAAGGCATGAATTCACTTCATTCCATGTGCATCAATTTCTAGAAATTAGATGTTGTGCGATATGATTATGAGTGAAACATGTGTCGCCAATTGTTACATCTGGTCGTCGCTGATTGTTATGTCGGAATTGTTGATCTCTTATACTTGTAAAACGAGAAACCACTGCCATTCCCACAACGCAAAAGTAAGAACACTAAAACTGGTACAACTGAAGATTTATTAACTCCAAAACACTACGATGACCCTAGTCAAAAATACACTCATTTATATATTGGTTGTATACCCATTTTGATTATGAATTTAGGATGAAATCAGATATATGAAAAATACTTAGAGTTATAACAAGTCATATGCTGAGTGTCATGTTGAGCACAGTTTATGTTAATTTAATATAAGAATATAGTACCTTGAATAAAACACCACAATGAGTAAAAGGATGTAATTTTGCTTTTTAATCCCAATATATCACATTCCGCTTTTTTAGTGGAATACGTGAGAATATACTTTCCGTGGAGAGTCTGCTCGAAGGTTTCTCTTTTCGCACTCCTAGAGATGTTGGCCGGTCACGTGGTCGTATTCCTGCTTCATTTGAAAAATATACTATTTAACGTTTGATTTTCATGCTTTGCTCCTTCATTTAATGCAATTATCATACAGATTAAATTGACGCAGTGACAGGAAAGGTGATGTTGATCATAATGTAATCAGTCACGAGGAACATGTATAAAATGTTGCTAGTTTGGTGGGCGAACTATAAAAGTGTTGATAGAAATTACGGTAGCGACAGTAATATAGTCATAATAATGGTAACAATGATATTGATAATAATGACAGTTCAAAGTTATATGTTATTTTTGAGAAGATGCTTATACTTAGTTTCAAGCTATTTTCTAAATAATGATACGATTAATAAGGTCAAGTATAGTAATATTTGTAAGGGTTTGTTTCTTCCTATTGCTGATATTTGCGACCGTATTTGATCAATCTATGTCAGCACATATATTTTCACCTTGAGCATGTGATTACTACGTCGATATTTCCTGAACATGTAAGTTGCAGTCTATTTTTGTGTTAAGGCTAGGAATGTGATCTAGAACACGAGTTTCGTCTAATTTAAGACTCATTATTTAGATTTCCTTGTATTCCAATATTGAATGTCACTACTGAAATTCAATCTCAGTAGCTGTTGCTTCAAAAACAAAGAGTTATCCACCAAACTGCTGACTTACAATAACCACTAACTTGTTCGAATATGTAGGTTATTATTAGTAGAGGTTTTATGTAGTTGAGATCATGAGTCAAGTGAAGCTAGACCACCGTGGAAAACCTGAAAGCACTAGACGGCCGTTTCGTCCTATTGTGGGACTCCTCAGAAGTGCGCATCCACGATCCCGCCTCACGAGATTCGAACCCATGACCTACCAGTCTCGCGTGCGAGCACTTAACCACTAGACCACTGAGCCGGCCGGCATCCAACAGCGTTAATGTCTAACCTCAACCAATCCACGAAATTGCGCGACCATCTTCCATTGTACTGAGGTAGATACCTGTCTCTACCTGACATGGATTGGCTTCACTGGTCATTACTTCTCACAAGAACTCCAGGAATTACCTCATGGAGACAGTCACTAGTGAGCATATGATCATTATGAGAAGGGGATTTTGTGGAGACTTTAGGATCGTGAATGCGCACTGCTGAGGAATCCCACAATAGGACGAAACGGCCGTCTAGTGCTTTCAGGTTTTCCACGGTGGTCTAGCTTCACTTGACTCATGATCTCAACTACATAAAATTACTAATAATCTCCACAAAATCCCCTTCTTATGGTAGAGGTTTCATTTTCTTCGTTTAATGATATTCAGGTCAAAATAAAAATTAAAAATGATAAATTTTCTCTTCGATATAATAAACAATGATGTTCTTCTATTTAAATGAAAGGTAGTAGAAAGGTTTAAAACATTTGTGAACATTATAGATTAAAAATAAATAAACAGCATTTAAGAGGGGAAAAAAGTACTAAAAACCATAGCAAGTAATACGTTCACTTATTAATACCAACAATAGACTGCTATATATGTATATGTAAAATTATAAGCGATTTGCTAACACGAATGTATTGATTAGATTATACTTAATCAATCTGAAAACATTTGAAATATATATATATATATATATATCATGTGTGAATGTAGCAGTCTCCATCTACAAGTTATGTATAAAATCATTTATTACTACTTATTATACTACTTAATTCATATTACAAATTCAAATGAGTTATCAAGATTAAATTTATTAACATTAGATCGTTCAACTAATAAAATCAATATATTATTATCATATTTTATACCATTTAATGATATGATACATATACAATCACGTAGGCAACAATATAATGGTATAAAAGAAAATTTTTTAATCAAAAATTTAAATAATTTATATATTAATCATCAATTTTTTATTAATTTAACAGATTTTATCGATTATTATTATAAATTAATAATCAATAAACCGATAACAATTAATGATGGAAATATAATCAATAATAATACAGATTATTTACATAATATTCATATAATGAATTATATTAATATAAATTATATTAAAAAGATATATAAGAAATCATTATTATTATTATCAAAGGAATATATTCCCTCTAGTCAATTAAAGTATATTTTATTAATGCATTCATGGAGATTATATTTTTTATTCATTATTAATAATACTAATTTATGGTTACATTTTAAGCCAGAAACAATAATCAATCAAAATGATTTACCTAAAACAATTGATGAATGGAGTATTATATTTATATATTTATTATGTATAACATTTCAATCTAAACAATATGATAAAGATTATCAATTACCATATGGTTTTTGTCCAAATCCATGTTTAATGAATCCATGCCATGAAGTAATGAATACAATATCAAATAAATGTATAAGAACTGGATATTTGGAAAATAATTATAAATGTGAATGTCTTAATGGTTATCAATGGAAACAAGTTAAAGGATATAAAGGTAATAAGAAAATATTTGTTTATTTAATTGATTTTACATAAATAATGAGGATAATTGAAATAGATAGAACAGTATGTATAATACAATAATAGTTCTTTTGTCTTCCTGGTGGGAGATTGTTGGGGATGTCAAATCCCCAGAACTTACTTGATAAGTGGGTTAATTTTGTAATTTTATTTTTGAAATTTGAATTTAGCTGTTTTCGCGCCAAACGCGCTCTTTTTACCTTCACGTCATATTTCCCATTTATAAACTATCTTAAACGCTATTGGTCCATTGTTTCTTTGTGTGTGCTATTTATTAATGATGCCCAAGGACAATTTGCTGCCGTATATATACGCTTGACTTTTTCCCTTATTTGATTGCTGTGCTTCTGGCTGCTACGGAATATAACTTCCCCGCTTCCAACTTGGACTTCTTACTCTAGTTAGCTGGATCGTGTCAGAATAGCTAGCTTATCGGTCCCTGGTCACAAGTCTTTTTTCCGTTCGCTACTAGTGAATTCGTAACGCTTCAGATATAACAGAGATCAACTTCAGAATCAGAATTTTATATTTAGAAGAATGTCTATGGCAAAGTTGGATGAGAATGGAGGAAGAAGATGACCCTAGCAAACACAAACGAAGTTATCAATACCAATGAAAGTTTCTCATAAGCTCTGAATCAACTAGTAGTGTTCGAGTAGAGAGCTTGTACAAGGTTAATATACTTTTTTGCTGTACGTTTCAATGACGAACACTGTTATATGAGAGATTTACGAGTAAATAAGTTGTAGTACAGGAGTATAAAGTTCGGGAAACCTTTGAGTAATCATTTCAATTCTCTACTACCTATAATGTTGGAATATGAATTTACTTATGAGCTAGTAGATATGAATTTGAGTGCATTTGACAGTCGTTGTCGCTGAAACTTCATCAAAGTACGACGAGAATACATTTTAATTTTGATGCTAAGTTAATAATTCTCAATCAACAGACTTTGCGATTTAGTTTCGTGAATTCATTTTATGTTTCCCATACTGCTATACAGGGATAACGTGTAGCTGTTCATATGAATTAAACGTATCTATGTGAAGAACCAGTAAGAATGAAACTTCCAGTACTTGAGTATTAGACTGGTACATTTTGTATTTTCTGTGATAAAGATATGACAATTTTTCCAGAAGTGGAATCACATTTCAGACTAAACTGTAATAAAAGATCCTGGATTTAATCTTGTGTTAGATCGTAAACAAGTCCTATTAAAATGTCCCCAGTTCCTCCTAGTATTCTATCGTCTTTTTGCAAGTTACCTTTTGTTGAAAGTTCCCTTCAATTCTTTATAAACCATCTGTACAAACAGTTTCTTTCAATGTTGTCTACTTTCAAAGGTTCTTTTTAATCTCTTGTTTAAAAAAAATTCGTCAGGCGGAAATCGATATATAATATTGCAAAGATAGTGCTGCTGAGTGACTATCTTTCCAACATTAAAAACTATTTCATGTACGTTTGGAAACGTTACAGAATGGCTTACATTGGTTATCTATGATGAATTAAATCTACAGGAAATCAGGAATTGTCAGTCACATCAAGGACCTAACTATCGGAGTAGCTACAAGTGTCCTGATAATCAGGTACTTGTAGAAATCTTAAAATATACATGTAAGGCCTGACTCACACGTACAAACCGAATACACTTCTAAGTTCGTCAATTCCTACCTTCCTATAAATAGGTACACCTATTGTAGTTGAACTCTCTGTTCCCGAAATTAAGCATGAAAATGTTATTGTGTAGTGACAGTACTGTCATTGATTTCTTGAAGCGTCAACAGAAATTTCGGAATAAAGTTTCACGAAAACAATATCATTTTAAATTCTTAATCTTTGGAAAGCTTTACATAAAAGAAATCAACTGAATGGGAAGACATTAAAATAACTGTGAACTCGGAAGCGAAAAGTTATTAATGGGTAATGGAAAGTTCAAGATTTAGAAAGTAGGAAATGTCATCATAATATGTTCTGCGTAATATAAGTTGTTTTTCAGAACACTAATTTCTATTGTCCAGACTACTCAGTTCAGGAATACCGAGTGTAATCACATAATGCAAAGTAATAACCAGTGAACTGATGTCATTGTTTTATCTGACCACACTAATTCTGTTCCCGTCAGCACAACATTTTAAGGCAAACGACAACTCAAGGTACACAAAACGTGGCAGTAATACGGATCCGATAATAACTGAATCCTAAAAAAACAGAGAAGTATTTTTCCACTTCAAAATTATAAAGTGTAGATGTGATATATAAGGACATGGTTTCAGATATTCTGTTTCTTGTCTGTTTAAGAAAGGCTTCGGACAAGTCATGTGGATTCTTCAAGATTATAAATCCCATTAAATAAGTGTAACAGACAACAGAACTTTGGATAACATTTAATGACTGAGTATTTGTTCCTAAATTATAATAACCTTTTTAAAACTTCTCCGAATTGGCAGCTGATGTTTCTACAAACCTTCGTAATAATAGGAATATTTAATTTTCTCGGTATACTTTCATTATATGATTGTAAGTAGCTGACTGATGTGTTTATTTTCAAACGCAGAAATCATAAACTCATCTATGGGAGGAGTAATTAATCTATTCCTTTGGTTTATATTTGGATATTCATTAATCTATGTATATTAAAAGGTAATACCCGGTTAACAAACTATTATACTTAGCTGATGCCTAAGGATTAGTGACTTACTCAAGCAGAGTACCAGTTTTTAAAACTACAGAGAAATTTCATTGAAAAAACTACTTCATCGTTTTGTAGGTAACAATCCATTAGGTTTATATATTTATGTGAATTCTATAAAATATTATTGAAACACACGCTCATGATAAATTATCACCCTTAGGAATACGACCTCTATTTAGATTATGACATGTCGTTCATGTACATGTAAATTACTTGTTAAGCTGTTCATTGAAAATATTGACTTGATATAAAGTTTAAAGAGTAAAACGGAACCAGTGAATACCATCTCAATGGTTTGAATGTTAAACACTTTTCATATGACCTTAAAGTGCTGAAGTGAACTCTTGAGGATCGAAGAGTCATGGGTGTGCACTTCCAGAACAAAAGATCTCTTCATTCCTTCCTTATTTTTAGTAGTTATCTGAATAAATTCAGTCAGTAAAACTATTAAATTTGGTCATCTTCACAACCCTTTTTGTCAATAAAATGTAAACTTTCATCTTTGATTGACTTAACTTTTTATCTAACCATAGATTTTCTTGTCAAATATATGCTTATAGAAGGGGTTTTGTGGAGATTTAGTATTTATTATAGTTGAAAGCGTGAGTCAATTGAAGCTAGACCACCATGGGAAACCTGGAAACACTGGACGGCCGTTTCGTCCCATTATGGGACTCCTCAGCAGTGCGCATCCACGATCCCGCTCTCGCGAGATTCGAACCCGGGACCTACCAGTCTCGAGCCGAAGCCCTTAACTGATAGACCACTGAGCCGGCCGGCATCCAACGGTGTTAATGTCTGGTAGGTCCTGGGTTCGAATCTCGCGAGAGCGGGATCGTGGATGCGCACTGCTGAGGAGTCCCATAATGGGACGAAACGGCCGTCCAGTGTTTCCAGGTTTCCCATGGTGGTCTAGCTTCAATTGACTCACGCTTTCAACTATAATAAATATATGCTTGATGAAAAACATTTCTATTGAATGCAGCTAACTTTTCTCATGTGTTTTCAAAGCGGAAATGATTTTACATCTAATATTCTAAGGATATTATCGCGAAAATATTTGCTGATATCTCTTAGCATCTTATAGCTAGAAATGTCTGACATACCTTAGTTTTAGTTAAGAGTTAAAAGTACGTCGACTAACATTTTTTTGAAATATCAGTGTCATACTCGTCAAAGCTGAACTAAACATACACTAAAAAAATGGAATGCTGTTTAATCATTATAGTTCTGCTTACAATCGGCAAGATATGATATTTTAGTGAAAATGTTGTTTTAAAAAGTTGAAGGACCTATCTCATTTATTTTACAAGCACTGGATGTCCGATTTCCAGTCTGATGAAATATTTTGTTTTTAATGATTAGAAAACATTTCCTAGTTATGAATATTTATAGAAATGATTTAGAAGATCTGTGGAATTAGTATATCAGGACCATTTACATGCACTCTTTGCTTTTGGAATACACACTAAAAAATTAACTGCGTTTCATAAAATAAACTATATACTTTCTAAATATGTAAATATATATAATAAGATGCTCGTAATAAATACACTACATTTTATACTGATTAGTTACATTCAAACTTATCGGAGTGAAGCTACTGAGACATAGGGGGGAGTGCGGTTTACAGTATTATTGAGAAGTGGGGGGAGGTAGGATAAGTATCTATGACTTTGTAACACATCTGCCTCTTAATGTTCAATATGTGTGCAATATCTAACATTTTTTCGTTCATTTATTGAATGGATACAATTTATAAGAGCTTAGTTTTTCAGTGACAATTTCATTTCAATCTCTAACTTCCACTTGATATGTTTTTCAGATATTCAAGTCTCTCCCTTCGTGGCAAAATGTCAATCATGTGGTTGACATTTTCATCTTTCGGGCATTTTAAAATAAAGTGCGATCATTATCTAATTCTATCGGCAAGCAAGTTGTTTTTTACCTGATAATGTTACTTTACACCAAAACTTTGAATGATTTATCTCATAGCTAATTATGAATAAGCACTGGTTACTATCAGGATGAGTGATTTGTAAAAATTACTTCACTCAAGGAATATTTTCCAACATGAACTGGTAAATTCTGTGTTCATCATTATTTCTGTACTTGTTCTACTGTGTGGAAACATGAAATAATATACTGTGTTTGGAAAAGTTAGAAAACATTTTTTGTATTTGTATAACTATTATGAAAGGTAATTTATTGATATTTCTTGAGAGCATGAACAAAGATTTCAGTAGAATACCATGATTTCATGTTATTCAGATCAAATCTTTGTATCTACCCTCTTCAAGATGACAAAGTGAACTATGTAAATGAAAATTTTCATTAATTTCTCTTTTAATCCTTAATGCTACTAATTTTAAATAGCTTCAATTGGTCAAGTATCTAAGTGAAGTATTTTTTTCTTAAATCTTATAAAGTAAATGACTAAACATTAGTTTTTCATGTGTTTAGGGTATTGCGAAGCAATCAATCTATGTGACAAATATTGTAGCAAAGTTGGAACCAGGAAATGTGATATTATAGAAGACAGGTATTTCTGTGTTTGTCGCGTAAGTTATTACTATTATTAATTGAACACATAAACAATAGTACAAACGGACACTGAAATGTAAATGAATCACACAATAAAAATGGGGTTGTGAAGAGTTAGAGAAAGGAAAGTGAGTATAATTTAAAAAAAGGAACATAAATGAATGGAAATTAGTGTATGGGAGTGAAATAATGGTAAAATAATAATGATAATAATTGGGGAAGCAGTTCAGTTAGAAATACAACCAGAAAAGATTATTTTAGTTAGAGAAGTTAGTCTCACTTATATGAAGAGAGTAAAAGAACACTACAGCAGGGTCTCCATTGGCTTCTTCTGAAGTCTAAGTTATCTATTTATAAAGAAATATCCCTGTTATTTGTAGGTCAATAAAGTTATCACAATGTTAAAGTGAAATTGTGACAATGTATTCATGTGTAATGTGAATTTAAAATAATAGTGAAATCATCACATCGAAATTTTATAGACAGTTACATTTTTGTAAATTTGTTTGATTGTTTCATGTGAAGCTTCCCTTTAAAGTCAACGATGATTACTACACAGTAAGGGATTATATTAACTTTTCATTTTACTGCTTGGAAGGAAAGAAGTGAACATTTATAACTTTCCGAAATCGTAAGTGATTAAGAGAATCTAATTGGGATATCGTATAGTCCAAAGTAATTATCAGGAAGTCCTATTTAAAAATACGTTCCCAGTTAGATGACATTCTTCACCAAGGCGTGGATCTCAACATACTTACTCACGAATATCACGGTAAATTACGCATTTATTTCTCGATGAACAAGTTCGTAAGATATACAATACCGTTTTGATGATCAAATTGTTTCACAACTTCCTATCACCCGTCAATAATCATATCAGATTTATGTACTACACTTTGATCTACTTATATAAGCATTTAGTAGTTTATTTTATTTTTAAAAACGTATTTTTATCCGAAAGGGGTTTTGTGGAAATTGTAGTAATTTAGTAGTTGAATTCATGAGAAAATTAAAGCGAGACTACTATGGAAAGCCTGAGAGCACTGGATGGCCGTTTTGTCTTAGTATGAGACTCCTCAACAGTGTGTATCCACGATCACGCTTGCGGGATTCGAACCCAGGGCCTTCGGTCTCGCTCAATTTCGTGGATTGGTTGAAGTTAGACATTAACACCGTTGGATGCCGGCCCATTGGTCTAGAGGTTAAGCGTTCGCGCGTGAGACCGAAGGTTTCTAGGTTCAAATCTCACGTGCAGGGTCGTGGGTAAGCACTTCTAAGGCGTCCCATACTAGGACGAAATGGCCGTCCAGTGCTTCCAGGTTTTCCTTGGTGGTCTAGCTTCAATTGACTCATGATTTCAACTATATATAAATTTTTTTAATTATTTAAGATTTGAAAATTTAGACGTTAGAACAAATAGCTAAAACTACACTTTACGTGATTGTATAGTATTGTCCCATTTAATCAATGATTTATATTTTAGGCCACCACCATGAACTATGATGAATGGATAACTAAACAATCTATGTTGTAAAATCTTATTTATTAATCTCTAACTGGAAATGATGTCTAAAAATAGAATAAATCCTTTTTTCATTTCGTGGGCATAGATTCAATGTTTATGTTCCATGTGATTGTGATTTATTGACCAAACTTTTTTGTTAAAAAACAATAAATTAATTCACCGTCAAAGAAAGGTCAATATTGATTTAATTGACAGAAACTAGGATATAAATATATATATCTTACTTAGTAGTTTGGTAACTGTCCCCTATTTCAAAATCAAGCACAAATTAAATTGGATTTCCTTTCTAATCCACATTTCCATACAGTTCATTATATTTTGACCTATTTTATTTTTATCAGAAGGGGGTTTTGTGGAGATTGTAGTAATTTTATATAATTGAAATCATGAATCAATTAAAGCTAGACCACCATGGAAAACCTGGAAGCACTGGAGGGTCGTTTTATCCTATTGTGGGACTTCTCAGCAGTGCACATCCACGATCCCGTCTCACGAGATTCGAACCCAGGACTTATCAGTCTCGCGCGCAAGCACTTAGGGATTTTAAATGATCATTAGTACGATAAAATAGATCTCCGCATAATTCTATTCATTACAATAATGAAAAAGAATAGGAGATGTAATTAGTTCGAACATTTAGCTAAATCATAAATCAAACAATAGGAGAGAATCACATTTTATACAAAAGTACGTTAGTAAATATGATCACATTAATGAAATACAACTAAATCACATGATTATAACCTTTTGTACTGATTATTTATTCTTTAGAGCTTACAAATTTATTAACTTGGATATTAAGATAAAATTTAATGTAAATTCAGAATTATTTTTCTTTCACAAATTAACATCATGCAAAACATTCATGGAATATGTAAATTAATGAATATCTATTTCATCTCCTATTTAGAGAGCACTTAATGTATTATTTGGAATTAAGGAAACGATGTCTAAAAATTATGGCCTCTATTTCACTTTTTCCAGTCATTAAGCTTCAACTCAGCGATTTTCATTTTCAAATTTTATTCCAGCTCCAGTATAATGCAACTATCATGGATGGTTATTTGTAGATATCCGTATAACTCCTGAGCCATTAGATACTATTATTCACTCTGTCCTGCTAAAAAATCAGGTATTCATTCTGAAGAGTTGTTACTAAGCACTACACACTTTATACATAGTTTCAGTATGGGTGAGCTTTAGGAATGCAAAAAAGCTGAAATTTCACTAACCATGTCAGGTTTCTATGAATAAATGAGTTTGTTTCGATTAAATAAACCGATGTTGACAAAGTATCCAAGTAATTAGCTTCTTACAGATCTACTGATGCCTACTTTCAAACTTTCAGGATAATTTACTCAAACTGTCCTGGATAGCATACCCATTTAACGACCGACATACCCAACTCTACAGCAGGTGGTGAACTAATCAATGTATACTGGAGCTTCTAGATGCGAAATCTAAGTTTACTGTTGAGCTTAGGTAGAATACAAAACACTGATCACAAAGTTTATAGGAAGAAAGTTCTCTTGAGGAGATTTGTTATTCTTCTCTTTAATTTGTCATCAGTTAAGATACTCTTGAAATCGAAGTCCAAGTAAAGTTTTCTCTCTGTCGTTGAGGTTGGTTTGGAACTTAAATTCTTACCAATGAATTTTGGTGGATATTCACTTTCGGTCAGCATTTTTCTCAGGAGAGTTAACTCGTCATTGATAGCATCACAGGAAGAAAATTCCTCAGATTCTTGTGACTTAAGATATATTTCTCTATGAACAGTGACCCAAGTATAGAAGCTTGGGATCTGGTTGTTGCATGAAGGTAAACAGATCTCAGGAGTCTGTCAGGTTTGTCATTTTAACAACAAGGAAGATAACGTCTAGTCTGTCTTCCACTTTTGGAGTACGTTTTATTGTAAGGTGGGCATTGTTGAAAATCTGCAGACTTTGATTCATGTTACTTTTTATCATTCATAGAAAATTCATCCCCCACGTTTCTTTTATACAGGTGGAAGCCGTCGATAAACGACTTTAATTGATTCTTTTCCAAACAGGCTATAAAATAATTCGTTGGTATTGGACCAATGGCGGATTTTATAGCTAAGGTATCTTTTTGTTTGTAGGTCATACCATAGAATGTCTATTGCACATTAAAAATTCATCACAGTGGTAATATCACAACTTGCGTTATCTAGTTTTTTGTTCATAAAGGATAGTTCTAGCTGCGCTTCAGTCTTTTTGAGGTTGGGATTATAGTCGAAGTGTTGTGTCAGCTGTCGTACCATCGAATTCGTATTGAAAGAATCTCGACTGTATGCAAATAGTATGACCGTTGGTCTAATCATAAGCGTAACATCTCAGATGATGTTGAGTAATGATAATAAATGAACTGCTGAATTCATATTTATAATACCATATAATATAATATATAATTCAGTATTTAACTTCCCACAAATTATTTTGTATTTGTATTAGAAACCCATATTCTCGAATCTTAAAATGTTTTCTTTTTTAGCCCACTCATATGGGTTTAAACTGTGACTACCAACGTGATCCATGTGTGGAACTGGCTTCTAATGTTCATATGGGAGGAAATATGGCATGTAACGTTGCAAATGGTGGTATATGCAAAGGAACTTTAGGAACAAACACCTATCATTGCCAGTTAGTTCAATCTAATTCATAGGTTTTTGTTTATTTATGTAAGGAGTAGTTTTACTGTTGACTATTCTAGACACTTCAACGATACGTAATCTAACTGAAAACTTACATTTTCACAGTATATATAAAAAGACAACCAAAGCCAAACTCAAAGATTGTGGATATTATAGCAAACAAAGAATGTAATTTTACGACTGAGTGGACTAAAATTATAACTCAATTGTGACAGTTTTTACAGCTATATTTTGTCATGAATTAAACAATTTTGTAGCTCACAACACAGCATAGCAAAGTTTTGGGAAGAATGGTACCTGTAACTTCCGGAAATGAATCCTTCAATAGGGATTCATGATCGCTGATAACTTTAGTCTTAACGGATTTAAATATCTGAAAACGTTCAGTCAAATATTCCGTTCACTTGCCAACATGCTATTCTTAAGATTTTTTTCTGATCCTGTAGACAGCTAACCCAATAGCTTCACGTTCGTCTACGATTATATACACAGTTACTTCCGATCATTATTTTCTTTTTCTTCGTTTATATTTCGGGTACAATGTTTGGGAGAGCATAGTATCAGCAACGTTTATTCATGCCGTGCCAAGTCATTTCCAAAATATGATTATATCATTTTTAGGACTTAGTAGACATATATTATTTATCTCCATATGCATGAGGAAATATATATTAATGGGCTTTAAAACAATTAATGCTGCCGAATAAGATATTTCCACATGAAAATCAAAGTTTTTGGTAACATAATTCGTTATTCGAGCATCCCCGATTTTCCATTATGATTTTTTTCTAATTCTTTAGTTGAAGGATAAAATCAGATATCTCTACGAAAGGTAAAAATGAGTAGTCGTTGGTTACATTGTGACCTCGACTTCGATCCTTGATAAATATCTTATTGTATGTTGATTGCTTTATAGCCATACTGGGTGCTAAATTTTTGTCAAACCATTCCTTCTTATATTGAGGAATATTCGTATAAGCCATACTAATTTGGTTGAATATTATATACCTATGTGACCACTCTAATTCTCAATTTGTGTATCCCATCCGTGTTTATAATTCAAATAACTAATCGATTGGGATTCGGTGGACAGTCCCATGAGTAGATCATCAGATCACCCACTTTAATCATCGAATCAATTATTTCTTAAAGGTAGTTTCTCTGATCCCTTAGAAAGTTAGTTAGGTATTGAAGCGAAATCAGTTTCTGTGTTTATTCAAAGTCACTTGATTAATTGTTGATTACTTCATAAATTTTACATAACTTTTGTCATTAATTCGAAAAAAAGCAAACACAGTTTGTATTACATCGTTTGCTGATGCATGAATAGTTTCTTGATGCTTATAGAGCTATTCAAAATTCGAACTTTATTTCAGTTTAATCTCCCATCTCAACAAAGTAACAAAAAGACATTCAAATCAATGCCTTTTATGATTTACAATACTTTTTTCTTAAAATAAGATAAACAACTTAGTTAAAAAATTTAAAGATTAGTAAAGATCACAATCAGCAGTCAATGTTTGTAAGAAAAGGGCTATTATTATTTTGAAATGAGTCTTTATCTAGTGCCATAATGAACAACTAACACTGACTGACATCAATGTCTTTGTTTTCAAAATCTCCGGTGACAAATATGACGTAAGAAACTAAAACAATATCGTCATTCATCCTTCGGTAATGGACTAACCTAGTTTATGTCCATGTATTAATTATAGTGCAATATTTTTATTTATGTGTATTGTTTGAAACAGTATAGTCAGCTATAAGAAATGTAGAACCTGTCAGACTTCCACATTACCTCAAGTTCCTATAATACAAGATGAATAAAAGTCATAAAGTAACTCGGGATCTAAAAGTTGACAGAGTAGATGTACCTACGACATTATGATTTCAAAAAACATAAGTCATCGATAAAAATCTTCAGCAAAGCAAAAATTTCCATTTCGAGAAAGACAAATAGAAGTATTTCTTTTAAATTAGTTTCTCATTATATCTCTATACTGATATATATTTAACTGTAACAGTAAAATGTATACCAGTCAGATGATGGTGCGCTACAAAATATTAAAACGTTTCTTGTTCGGTTAACTATGATGTCGGTGTATAGTTGGTTCTTTCCAGGCTTAATTGCTTATGGGAGAAATTTTCAAAGTGAGTGCACGCCAACATCATCTATACACTATTCTTGTAAAATACTTAGAACCTGAACAATCACAATTGCGTACATTAAGTCGTTTCATACTACATTGAATCCCTTATGTAATGAATTTATATTCATCCACACTAAAGTACTAAATCATAACTGTCTTTCCAGGTGTCCAGGATCATTTACCAGTGATCCATCTTATCCTCTCCCAAACTGTTTACAAATTAAAGATCGATGTGCCAGTACAATATGCATTCATGGTGATTGTGTTAGTTCAAAAGATGGACAAGTAAGAAAATAGAAACAGTATTTATTATTCATAGATTATTTTGCTAATCACTTGGTTATTTTGCTTAAAAGTCACATAATTAGTTGAGCAGGCGAAATAATTCAAGTGAATAGCTTCAGTAAGGATAGTGAAGGCTCAGTTACCACTTTCCACAAAAATCGAAGTGATATATATGCTCCATTCATGTGCTTGGATACTTAAGATCAGTATTATAAGTGATAATATAGATTAAAGGAAACCTCCAGTGTTACAAAACTTACTATCGGGTAATTTTACTATTCTCCAATGCACCAAAGAATATTCATCTCTTTTATTCTTCGAATGAGTGCACCCGTTAAAGAATAATAAGTTTCAATTGAATGTTTGGTATTTAATTTGTGAATTTAAATCCTAAATAAAATGAGTCATTTGTTTTAACCCACTTCAAACTACTTCAGTAGTTTCATCCCAGTCGTGTTCACTGACTTACTAAATACAATACTCTGGATTCATGTGTATGTGTTGGTATTGAGTTGGATACGTTGAACTGTATGTTTCAGTAACTAAAAATGTAAAACTATATCAATAATCAATGATAAACAAATAAAAAAGAATATTCGATTGTATTACATTTGCCTTTGGCTATGCAATTCAAAACCGGATCCGATTAATTAAGTATATAAACCAACAAAGAATTAATCACGGTTACCTCAATAATTCTCTAAGCCATCTCTAACATTTGTGAAGAAAAAGTTTAGAAAGTTTATTTCAGCTTTGACCGGGGATGAGAGCGCGAAATGGGTCCACATGTGTAGGGAATTATTCGACATCGTCCGAACCTTTACTACTATAGATACCGATCCCAATGGGCTGGAGACGATTTTATATGCTGTTCATCAATTTCATAAAGGCAACTTCAAGTACATTCTATTTAAGGTTGATTCTAGTTAATTTTTCGAGAATTGACGCATTTACTAACAATTTATCACTTCTAACTTTTGTTGACTTCAGCAGATGAAAATTAAAAATATTTTTTGTATTATTACTCAATTCTAGGAAACTTATTGTATTTGTTCTGAAGGGACATATGGAAAATATTGTGAATTAACACGTGGACAATGGGGTCAATGGTCACCATGGTCTGAATGTTTACCAAATTGTGGACTTTATAATCATCGAAGGCGTATACGTACACGTGATTGTTTAGGTGAGGCATGTAGTGGTGGTTTAGGTTATTTACATATGGAATTCTGTGATGTAAAACCTTGTTCAGATGAAATGCAGATGTTAAATAGAATAAATTCATCACAAGAAATACAAAAATTGAAAATGTTACAAGTACAAGGAACACGTTATATGGAAATATCAGGTAGAATTGCTAAATATCTATTATTAATAACTTGTATCTTTTCTGTAATTACAGTGACAGCTATGATAATAGTTGTATATTGTTTATGAAATTTTAATGATGAAACACCTTACTTAGAATACATAATTCATGTTGAATATATACTATTATTGTATTTATTTTATTAAGAAATACTGAATGATGAAGAATATTTACCGCTGAGAACTGTAGATAATTGAGGTGGAAGATAATTAGAGGCCTATATAAATAAACTGATAAATAAGTAGGAAGCTTTTGTAAGGAAGTATACAGTAATACCTAGACTGAAATATTTGGAAAATGCATTTGTGCCCATATCAACGATTTCGAGCAACGTCATGTAAGCCTCCCAACAATGGATCACGATAGTCATGAGAACATCAACAGCGAAATCTACACATTTTGACATCAATTAGACGAATAATCAAAGGTTTTATGAAAAGATAACGTCTTGGTTTTGCTGCCTTTAGTCTCATTCTAACCTGTCATCTATTGAGGGTGGCATTAATTTTTTCTGAGATATTCTTGGTTGGCTTATCATATTAATACACAAATCAGCTAACATGTCCATCATCATAGGGGAGTTTCTGGTGACCTTTCCTACAAATCCTCGTTTGATATATTTTAAATGGTTAGCGTGTTGTCTCTATATCATACTCCTCACTTTGACCTCATAAATAACATGTCCTCGCCTGGCTGCAATAATCTTCGGTATCTGTGTTGGGTCTGGACTATGCAAATCACATATCATCACTAGTTGTCCAGCTGTGAATTTTTTAGGTAATGCTCCACACAATTTGTTTTATCGATCCGCTATTTTTCTGTTCAGCTTACAAATAGTTTTCAAGATCATCTCGAGATATTCTAATCTTTTTTCCAAACGTGACTTGCATTAAGGAAAATTAATTATTAACTGGACGATTGGGCATTAAACGAAAGTTTGGTGAAAAAGTTTGCAGTATTTTTTCGACTCTACCTTCCCCATGCACTTTGATAGGTGTCCTTTTAAATGTACTCACGAATTTTTGAACCTGACCATTCGATTGAGGATGTTTAGGGAGAATTTTGATATGTTTAACAAACCAAGTTTGGAAAATTCTGATTATCAAAGCCGAGGTTCACTTTCCGCACATCAACACTCTAGGAAAGCCAAAACAACTAAACATTTACTGGAATTTATCGAACGTAAATTTTGTCGAAATAGACTCAATAAAATGAGTTTTAGGTCACTACGTAAATGCACCGACGGCCACTGAGGAGTTTTTGCTACTAACAATACCGGAAAGACCAACATTTATTCTAGGCCATAGGTAAGCATGAGTTTCCAAACAATAAGATTCAATTCTTCGTGGAGTTCCCACTATGTTTGAATATGTAGAATATTTTATTACATACTCTACAATTTGATGAGTATCGGCTTCACGTGATACCGGGCTACATTGAAAGCGGATGTAGATTTAAATCATTTACTGAACACATTGTATTCAATGGCACATACCATGTATTCAGGCTCTTGATCAACTTAATACCAATGAGATCTAAATAAGATATATTTGCTAAATAGTAAGTTTCAATAAAATAACTCACTGAATTGAACAGAGCATTTAATCGTCCCAATAAGTTTAAGTATATCACCAGAGGAGTATTTACGCGTACGGTCTGTCCGTAATAAAGATAGGTAGCCTATAAACTTTCACATTTCTTCGAAAATAAATATCTAGTTCACAGACATGCTCAGTTGTTGTCGGTTATGAACGATTTTTGCTAGTAAAGTCAAAAACCATTTCTTGTCTGAAATGTTGAATACATACTATGTAGCTTTTTCAACTAAAGCAAAAAATTCTTCGTGATCCTGGATTCAAATGATAACTTTTACGCTAAATCGCTTCTTTATGAATAACTTTAAAACATATACGACACATAGGATTTCTGAAGCGGGTATATTTAGAAAAAATTGATTCCAAAAATGATCCACATCCGAACCCTAGTTTGAACAAAAAATCTTTTTCATGTAGAGTATACTGATACTGATGAAGGGAAGCTGAATTGTAGTTTTAATCTGTGTACACAGAGATCTGTCAAACGCTTCTTTCTAACGTTTATTCAGGATTAGTGAAATAATGGTTAAAGCACGTGAATTTCGACCAATAGGTTGTGCGTTTGGATTCTAATGCATCTACCTCGATTTAAACAGCTAGGTAATATTGCAAAACACGACATTAGGTATGTATGCTTATATCAACAAGTTAAAAAGTATTTAAATAGTAGATATATATAGCCTTCAGTCGCCCATTTGCATCTTCTCGTGTGTTCTGCAATTTGAGCTATCTTCTCGATTGGCCTCCAAGTGTTACGCTAACGCCATGTTTTCAATGCATTGAAACTCTCTACTCTGTCCGAAAACGGTTGCAACTACGACACTACGTTCCGCTACACACTAATTACAAACATCCTTGTGAGTGAAGTTCACTACAGTATCAATAGCCCTTACGTAGAGTGGCTCGGATATGAATAAATAAACCTGTACATGTTAAATCAGTAGCACTAAAATTTGATTTAAGCGCATGAGTACTGGCTCACGAACCAGTGGATAATTATATTTTAAGTGGTTAATATCAAGAATTTTAAACGTTACGAAAAAACCTTATGAATTCGATAGATTTTAAGTGCTTATATTCACATCTGAATATTCTTCAGTAAGCGTTAAAGCTAATCGAAAACGATAACTGAATTCCTAATAAGAATACAATACAAAGATTTACATTCCACATTATAAGATATCATATATATATTCAAGTGAGTAATTTCTAGATAACTATGCATCACACACGTAACATGAACTAAAAATATGACATCATAAACTTATTTAAACAGCAGTCTGATCTTGTTCGAAAACCAAATAAAAAATTTAGGGAAGAAAATAGCGTTGTGAAGAACCTGAGGAAATATTTTAGACTATAGTCGCTAAATACCTTGAAGAAATTCATTCGATCAATGATTGTTCATATTATTAACAAAATTCGCTAATTCTGTACAGAAAATAATATAAACAAGTTACAGTTTATTTGGTCAGTGTGGATTATAATTACAGTCATTCTGAATATACATGTTCAAGATGATTATGTAGTAATCGCACTTTCGTTTATTACACATTCTTTGAATTATAAACTCGATCATCTTCTCCGCATTCAACACGAACAAAGTCTTCAAGGACCATTTCATTTCGTGATAAATGTTCGCCCACACGTATAGTTTCATCTAATAGAAAGGGTTGTAGCAGAAGAGATTTCTCTTCTTCCGGATCGGCAGCTGGATTTTCAATGGATTCTAATCCAGGATTCGGATTCATGCCAACAATATGCTGACAAATTTGTCTTCCTAAACGTGCAGCTCGTTCATGCCACGGATCATTGGCAGGCTGAAATAAAATTTAAAAAAAACAATGAAATGGTTAGAAGTGTTAATTACCGAGCATGGTAAAATGCATATAATGAAAAGAAACAGACTATCATCGTGTGGATTCGGATATCAGATAATTCTTTATAGATAATCTACTGAGTTACCAAGTTTTAAAATGGGGGATGAAACGACTGATTAATTATTCAAGAAGCTGTATTACCTTTAACGTCATATCAGGTTCTGAAATAACTGCATAGGTAAACGAAGCCCCTGTTTCTCGACGAAATTTCACATACACCAATCAACATACAATGGTTTGTGGTGTATGGGTAAGCTGGATATAGATTGAGGGTTTTATAATTAAGTTATGGCAAGAATCCATGAAGTTACTAACTGTTGCTCTAAGCCGTAAAGAATAGAAGAATAAAATTTTTTAGATGTTAACATAACGATCATATTTATCAAGGAATCATATCAAATAAAATGTTGTTGGTTAGCTTCCTCATATTCTAAAATAGAAAACTAAAACCAGTTTATTTATGTTGCTTAGGAGATATCCGTCTAACAATTAAGGGACGAGTATACTGCACAGCAGTTCGCTCTGTCCTACTTTACGGCTGTGAAACATGGCCATTATGAGTAAAAGATACTCGTAAGTTGCCATTATTTAATCACATATGTCTTAGATATATTGCTCGCCTCTGTTGGGATGAGGTTAGATGCAGGATATTAGGGAATGGTGGTAAATCAGTTGATGAGGTTGTGAATCTTCATCGACTGAGATGGTTGGGCCACGTGTTACGTATTCCTGTACACAGATTACCACGACGCGCAATGCTGACTAGTATTGGGGATGGTTGGAAGAGAGTTGGGGGCGGCCAAACCAAAACATGGCATCAGTGCTTGAAGTCACTACCTTCTGGCCTGAGCCATGTTGGTAGATGCAGACTTCTTGATTGGGGTCCACGCGACTATCACAACCAATGGTTGGAGACTCTAAGTGACATGGCACAGAATAGATCATAATGGTGTAGGTGTGTAAACTTCCTGTCTTCCCTGAAACCTTGAGATTGAAATTGCTTCATATCTTTCTTTCTCCTTGTACTACATCCTTATATACAATCTTTGTTTTATATGTTACCACCATTAAACTAACTACTTCTATGAATTTGGTGTTTATCATGTTGTGCTAATGAGGTATGGCAACTTAGATCGATGCATATTTGTGCCTGGTCCTACGTTGTGGCTGACTCATGTTGCTTAGGATGTAGATTCGTCGTTGGATTTAAAAAAAACAACTAATCAACTGCATTTTCGAAAGAACAATATAGTACTGATGTTTGTATTTAATTCTTCATTGTTGTAGTGAGTTCTGATGAAAAATTAGGTAGTGTTTCCAGAATTGTGTGAATAAAAACTAAAATGATAGACAGCTACATGTAATTTTATCTAGAACGCTGAAATGTATACCCAACATTTTCTCAGAACTTTGATTCTACTTGAAACAAAGATGCTGTAGAACAATAAGAAGCTTTACATATGACACAAAAAGTAGTTTGGATCCTCACTACATAGTTTTCTGACAGATTGTACAGTTGTTAACTTAAAATAAGCTACTCTTGTCCTGGAAATATAAAAATGTTTTACACTCAAAACGTATTTCTAAATCCGTTTTTGCAGGCGTAAAGTGATGTAAGTAATGGGTCCTTTCGAAAATATCTGACATTCAAGTTTTTAGTGGGTGAAAAAAGTTTTTAGCATTTAGAATTAAGTTAGGATGATGATCATGTAAAATTCAACTAG